GTCTCAAGCGGAACAAGCAATTCGCTGAGGATGTCTCAACCGAGACAAATCATTGTTGAGGATGTCTCATAGAGGACCAAAGACCAAGGATTCTCAAGATATCTTTGGCTTTTTCCTCTTGATATCTCTTTATGCTGGCTCTGGCGGGCAACTTTTATTATCCCCCGAAAACCCCGAACTTTATTATCCCTTAGGGTTTATTATCCGCAGTAAAAGGTTAATCGCTTTGCTCATTCTGCCCGCCCATATTGCCTCGCCGCTGTCGTTTGTCGGGGTGTTGTTGTCAATGCGGTGCGGTTGGGCGGCTGCAATGCTGCGGAGGCGGTTGGTGGCGGGTCAGACGCCTCACGGATGTTGGTTGGGATCTCGTGGTTGGCCTCTCAGGGGCTTTTGGGAGGCAGTTTTGAGGCCTCGTAGGGGGCCGTGTTGGGGCCTCTTGGGGCTTCTTGGGGTGCCTCTTGGGGGCCCCTTGGGGCCTTTTGGGGGCCTCTTAAAGGCCTTTTGGGGCTGAAGGCTGGACTTTTCGGTTCCTGGTCCCCTTCTTGGGCCCCTCATGGGGCCGTTTTGGGGATCTCTTGGGCCGTCTTGGGCGCCTCTTGGACTGTCTTGGGGCCATCTTGGGCCGTCTTGGGCCCTCTTTGAGGCTTCGTTGGGGCGGTCTTGGAAGCCTCTTGGGCCGTCATGGAGCGGCGGTAAGCTGAAAAGGCGAGAACGCCAAAACAACCTTCAGAAACTTCAGGAACATAAGTAATTTCCGCCTCTGTGGGCCCTCTTGGGAGGTCTCTTGGAGGCCTCTTGGGGCGTCTTGACGGCGCTTTCGGCTGTCTGGATGCAATATTTGGCGTCTTGGATTGCTCTTGGACCGTCTCGGACCATGCTGAGCCCTCTCGGAGGCCACTTGAAGCGCTCCTGGAGCGCTCTTGGGAGTCTGCTGGGACCTGGCATTGTTTTTATTCCTGGATCACTGTGGGGTTCCAAGAACATTACGTGGTAGGTCTATAGGAATGCCGGGACGGACGGTCCCTGCTCAATCTTCCGGCGTCTCCCTACGCGTCCAGAGGACCGAGGTGAGGGCGGAAGCAGTCCGGGCGATGATCGACAGCAGTCCCTGCCCGCTTTGAGCCCCTCCCGCTGTGGGTGACTGTCGCCGCGGGTGCCGCCCGCCCGTGCCGAGAGGCGCCTTCCCAGCAGCGGCCACTGTCGGTGTGGACAGAACGTTTTTTTTTCTCGGAAGCTGGAGCATATACATTGCCAGTGGCGGGTTTTGCTTCCATCCCACGACTTTTTGAGGGTCGGGGACGACGTCGGGGTGGGTGTGGTGTACACTTCCCCCCCGTCTTCCAAGGGAAACAGCGAAACATGCATACACCAGGATCCCGCATGCACCAGGACCCGCCCTCCAGTGCCAATGTCGATGCGGGGCCGGCAAAAGCGCCGGTGCATAGAGTCCGATCCCCCCTTTTTCTGGTGCGAAGGCCCGTGGGTGCGTGGTGCGAAGGCCCCGCGGGCGCGCATCCCGCTCCGTCCTTGCGTGGTGCGTGGTGCGAAGGCCCCGCGGGCGCGCATCCCGCTCCGTCCTTGCGTGGTGCGTGGTGCGAAGGCCCCGTGGGTGCGTGGTGCGTGGTGCGATAGTCCCCGCTCCGTGGCGCGACGGCCCCGCGGGTGCGCCGCAGCTCCGCCCGCGCGGCCGGCACGCCTCCGCCCGCGGGCGCCCCGTGGGCGCTCCGCGTGCCCGGGGGGCCGCTCCGCGTGCCCGGAGGGCGCGCGCGCGCGCGTGCCGAGGCCCCTCGCCGCGCGGCCGCCCGCGGGGGCGCCCCTCTGGGCGCTGCGCGGGTCCGCGCTGAAGTCGGGCCCGTCCCCCCCCCCCTCCTCTGCAGGGGGAAGATAGATATTCAGAGGTGGTCAAGACGTGCAGTGGGGGCGCGCATCAAGGAACCATCTGCTGCTCGTCAGGGTATCCTGCAGGGGGGATGGATTCAGAAGTGGTCAAGACATGCAGTGGGGGCGCGCGTCAAGGAAGCATCTGCTTTTCGTCAGGGTAACTATCCTGGGTTTCTCTTCGCTCCTCGCGCTGCGCGGTGGCTTCCCGCAGCCGTTGAAGGAGTTGCTGCGTTCAGGGTGCTCCGGGTTTCCCCTCAGGTGCACCTCGCGCACGGGTTCTCAGGGTTGGGTCTCTTGCGAGGATTTCTTGCGGCCGCGCCCGCATTGTAGTCTGGGGACTATTTTTTGAAGAATGTTCGGAGCATGTTTGATACTTTGATTATTTTTTTCATATTTCGTCCAAAATCCACCCGTAGGGGGGCATGCCCGACCGAAGTCTGCTCGTGCTTTGCCTGGTGGGGGGTCCTGAGGAAGGTCGCTGAGGCCTCGCGCGGCAGCTCGCGCGCAGACATGGTCGCGTCGTAAGCACATCGTAAACAAATAAACAGACCCACGCAGCGCTCACGGGGCGCCCGCAGGCGGTCGCGCGGCGATGCTCCGGAGTTAGTCCGACGTAAATCCGACGCACTTCCGACGCAGTCCGACGTGAACCCGACGTCAAGCCGACGTCAATCGGGTCTCGAGTTGCCGCGCGAGGGCTCCAGGATTTCCCTCATGAGACTGGCGCCCCCGAAAGTCCCGACCCTTCCCCCGGAACCGGCTCTTCCTCCCGAGCCGTTCCTTCACGGCCCCGGGGCCCGGCGAGGGCACCCTGAGGCCGAGGACGGTGACGACGCTGGCCGTCCTGCGCTGTTCGCGACGCGACCACGCCTGCGCGCGAGGGGCCGCGCGAGGCCTCCGGGAGGTGCTCCTCGCCACAGAGCGGCCCCGTGGCCGCCCCTTCTGGGCGCGACGCGGCTTCGGCACGCCGCCCGCGCGCGGGCAGCCTGCGGCTGCGCCTCGGGCCTCGCCGCGCTGCCGCCCCGGGGGAGCGCCGCGTCGGGGCGCCCTGCGTGCGCGCCTGCGTCGGGGCGCTGGCGCGTCAGGCGGGCCTGTCCCTCGACAGGAGGGGCATCATCCCAGAAGCATCCAAAAATGGTCGGGGGACGATCTTTCGACGATGTGTGACCATGTTCGAATACGTTTTCTACTACTTTTCCACTTTCGCCAGACATCCGCCTGTAGGAGGACATGCCCGACCTGATTCATGCTAACGCTTCGCTGGCGCCATCTTGCGAAGGCCTTGCGGTCGGCGCCGCCAGCCCTGAAGGGAGACGACGACAACGCCTGCGGCGGCGGCGACGACGATGGCGTGGGCCAGAGTTCTCAGGGATTCTTCGTGGGATCTCTTCGGAAGGCTCTCGGGGGTCTCTGGGGAGGAACTCCGGGTCCTCTTGGGATCATCTTGGGGACCTCTTTGGAGCCTCTTGGGGGCCTCTTCGGGCTTCCTGGGGGCCTCTTGTGGGCCACTTTGGACCTCTTGGGAACCTCTTGTGGCCTCCTGGGAGCCTCTCGGGGCCGAGGGCTCGAAATGTCCGTTCATATGTCCTGCACCATATTCACTGCACCACATCTCTCACGCCAGGTCGATTTTTCGATTCAAAGGAGATAGACTCCACTGCCCTCTTACCCGGGATCTTCGATATGCTCTGGGATTGCACAAATGATTGATGATTTTGCCCCATCGCTCATATTCCATTTCAATTCGTGGGACGATATCGCCCCCACTTTCCTCCCTATTAAATACGCCCGCGCGATTCCATTTGTTAATATCAGAAGATCGTGTTGCAAGACTCCTTTTTAAGCAGTGACAGAAAATCAATGCACGCGCGCGCACATGCCGAAACCATGTCAGACACGTCTGTTCTGCACGCATAAGCACATCATGCACCTTCTCTATTTTCCGCCACAACTCTTGCAGATGTTCTGCCCGCGCACATGTATTGAAGGCGTCGGAAACATGGTTTTCACAAGTTTACCCAGGACACACATTCCCATCTCACCCCACAGTGCATCCGCGTTAATCTAGCATGTGCCCAGTTCACGAATCCGTGCAACATGTTACCATGCGCGTCACGCGCGCGCGCCGCCACGCGCGCGTGCCGAAATCCTTCAGAAGCCATGCGTTTTCGATGCATTGCACGATATGGCTCGTCAGGCTGTCTCGATAGTTGCCCCGATGGTTGTTCGGATGGTTGCCCAGTTGTTCCGATGGTTGTCTTTTCCCGCCGTTGTGTTCTGATTGTCCCGTGGTTGTCCGTGTTTGTCCCGTGCTTATCCCGAGTTTGCCCCGTGTGTATCCCGTGGCTCTCCTTCGGTCGCGTCCTTAGAAAGATCGTGATAACGGCCGATTGATCGTGAGATCGCTCGACATGTTGATAGTGGAACCGGTGAGAGTACAAGAAGTCCGGGGGCAGGCATATGAATTGTGAGGCCTGTTCACAGATTGTGAGGCCGAGCGATTGTGAGAGCGTTTGGTAGATTGATAGTGAGATCGGTGAGTGGATCGTGTGTCCGATAGATCGTTGCATGGGGGGGGGCGACTTACAGTGTGGGCCCATGTCAGGTAACACCCTGCTTGCCTCCAGGGTGCCCTGGGGCTCTCGGGTGTTGATGGTCTTGCCATGCAGAGCGCGACGCTTCCACACCAAAAGCACGATGGACGTCCTGGGGTCTCAGGGTGGGGTTTCTTGTGGTCGGGCCTCCACTCTGCGTGCTGCGTGCCAAAAGTGGTGCAGGCTGTGCGTGCACAGGCCGGGGCGCGGGCCAGAGCACGCGGAGCGGACGGGAGGCGGTCACGGATCGGCACCGGGTGTGGAAAGCGGGAGGGCCCGGAGGGCGCACAGAGCACGAGGGGCCAAGCTTCCACCACCGCCACTGCCACACGGAGGGCGGGGGAGAAGGGAGGACGGAGAGGTCCTGCTCCTCCTCCTGCTGCTGCGCTCCCGCTGGCGGACCATTGGCCACTGCCACACGTCGGGCGGGGGAGAAGGGAGGATGGAGAGGTCCTCCTCCTCCTCCTCCTCCTCCTCCTCCTCCTCCTCCTCCTCCTCCAGACGCGCGCAAGGCGCCAGTCTAAGTGTGTTGGCGTTGACCCCCTTGTGCGGATGGCCTGTCCTGCCCTCTTCCTCCTCCTCCTCCTGCATATGGTAGTGGTGGTGGAAAGTCGGCCCATCAGGGCAGAGACGAGGCGGGCATGAGCGGGCACCTGGCGAGGCACAGGGAATGCCCATCCAATTCCTTGAAGTGGGGGCGCGCCAAGACACCCTATGTTTTTCGCCAGGGCATCCTGGGTTTCTTCGCTCCAGGCCTCCTAGATGGGGTCGGAGTAGATGGGGTCGGAGGATCTCGCCGCATCGGCGATGCATCAGTGACGCGGCTCGATGTGGGGTCCAATTTTCTCCACGCCGACGTCACAACGCCGATGCATCGCAGACGTCGCCAGTGCATGGCCGATGCATCGCCGAGGTATCGGCGATGCGGTGCGATCCTTCGACCCCATGTACTCGGACCCCAACTAAGAGGCATCTATTTTCTATTCGCTCCGCGAGCTGCGCGGTGACTTCTGTCAGCCGTTGAAGAAGCTGTTGCGTTCAGGGTGCTCTGGGTTTCCCCTCAGGTGCACCTCGCGCGCGGGTTTTCAGGGTTGGGTCTCTTGCGAGGATTTCTTGCGGTCGCGCCCGCACTGTATGAACCAGGTGGGAAGCCTTTTAGTGCAAACAACATTTGGGGTATGATACGGGTAGCTCGACCAATGCACCTATCCATACGGATCTTCATAACAACATACATATATGCCACCAGTTTGCTGGCCATCGCAAATCGACGGGTGCGCCAATCTGTCAACATCGCTGACTACAAGTTTGGTGGTCTTGTACGTCTGCTGGCCACTATTCCACCAGCCCGCCCTCTTCCGTCCCACCTGAATTCCTCCTTCCTTTCTCTATTCTCCTCCCGCCCCGTTCACTCACGCAGCTACGTTCTACTCCATCCCTCCCTTGTAGGTTTGGTGGTGAGATCAAAGTGGAATGGAGAGCCCCCCACTGGGAAATCGGTTTCGGGTTCGGGTTCGTGCTGTGCGTGCGGGCGAGGCGGAGCTGCGTGGGCGGGCGAGAGGAATGTCTCCGCTGTGGCTCGGGCGGGTCTAGACAAAAGACCACCCCTCCGGTGGGCCGGCGTGTCCCGTTGTGGTGTCCCGCCGTGATGTCCTGTCGGTGTCCGCGGGCGGTGGCCGTGGGTGCCCCGCCGCTGTGTCGCGTCGGTGCCCAGTTGGTGCCCCGTTGGTACCCCGTCGTACTCAACGCCACCGTCGTCGCTGTCATCACCACAGTCATCACCACTACGATCATCGCACTCACCACCGCACTCGCCACCACCACGATCACCACAAGCATCATCACACTCATCACCACACTCGTCACCACACTCATCATCATACTCCCCATCGCCACAGTCATCCTCAAAGGTGTATGGGGCCAAATCAGTGCCACTCATCGCCATCATGCTTTTCCGCCAGCATCGCCGGTATGTTAGCCCATTGCCGTTTGCATCGTCGTCATTCATCGTCGCCAATTCGCGAGCGCATCGCCACCATCGCAATCATCGCAGTTGTCCTCAGTTTGCTCGGTCCCCCCAACTTCCTGATCACCCGAAGGGTGCTTGCATGCGTGTTAAAACATGTGTCCATGTGTCCCTCTCTTTCTCTGCCTCTCTTGTTTTGCATCTCTTTTCCTCTCTCTCTCTTTTTGTGCTTGTGTGTTTCTCTCTCTCTCTCTCTCTCTCCTTTTTTTGTTTTATCTCTCTCTCTCTCTCTTTCTCTTTCCCCTGAACTGCCCCCCCTGGTCCTCCTCCCTCCTCCCCCCTGCTTCTCACACTCCCCCCTTCTCCCCTGTCGCCCCCCTCCCTCCTCCCCCTCCCTCTTTCCCCTCCCTCCCCCCCCCGACGCCTCCCCCTCCCGCAGCCGTCCTCCTGCGCCCCGCACCCTCCCCCCCGCAGCCATTTTGATCCACGGGCCTGGCCTGGGTTCTCGAGGGAGAGCCCCAGGGGAGACCGCCCCGCGGCCGCCACTTGTTAAGTCGGGCCTGCCAGGGGGAAATCCAAAAAGAGGCAGCACAAATACCCTGGGGACGTTGTTGTTGACTATCGTTGCCCAGTTGGGTGTTTTTGGCGTTTTTTTTTCCTTTGTTCGCCCAAGATCCCCCTGCAGGGGGGGACAGGCCCGACTTAACGCTAATTATATTTGCGGCGCGGCCCGCCGAGCGCGCCCCCCGGCGAGCGCGCTCATGGCGCCGGGCTCGGCCCGGGGCGGCGGCGGACGGGGGGGGGCAGGGGGTGGGGGAGGGGAGGACGGGGTGTGTGGGGGGGGGGGGGCCTAGAGATCTGGCGCACGGGGGGGGGGGGCCAGAGATCCAGCGCATGGACAAGAGTCAGGGCGGAGGCTTTTCGCCGACTTCGGCCCCTGTGGGCCCTCGCCGGGCCTCGGGGCCTTCGCAAGACGACTGAGGACGAAGAACAGGTCCTGGGGAATGGGTCGAGACTTCCAGAGACCCCGTATTGATTAAATCACGACATCGGTTCTCT